GATGGTTAGGTTAATAGCTTGTTTAGAGAAACTTTTCATGATATGCTAATTTTTTGGGACAGGCATTTTGGGTTTTCATGAGCTGTATGCCATAATCATCAGTATTAAAACAATTAAAGACCTGAAATATTTCAGTTGGTGTGCAATGAATCTGAAATATATGAAAGTTTCATTTTTATCATTACATTATGGAAAATAATGACCTTTATCACAATATGCTAATTTTTTTAGAAGGACCTGTAAATATATATATATATATATAGTCTGTTTTGGAGTTATAGCCCCCCCTGGTGGAAAGTCCAAGAGCCGCCACTGTTTATCTATGAATGTTTTTGTTCAGTGCCCTGAGATGACTTCTGTTGTGGAGACAAGGCGCGTTTGACGCTGGCGAGCGGATGGATGACGGAGAGAGAAAAGATGAGTCAGCAATTTGGTAAGGCGGTTGGCAGCGGCTGGGCTGTGAATGGGCAGGAGGTTGCAGAGGGAAGTTCTGGATCAGGAAGTGAGTTTGATGAAATGGAAGAAAATAGTGGCGGAAATGAAGAAGATTGGAGTAAGTTAGCTGCTTCAAAAAGCAGAAAAAAGCGTAAAAAGCAGACATCAGCTGAAGATATTTCTAACCCAGAAAAGGATGAGGAAAATGAACTAGTAACTAAGAAACCAAAAGATGAGTATAAAGTTATTATTAAATTAAATCAAGAGGGAGAATCTTTTGGTGAATGGAACCCAATACAATTAACCAAAACAATAAATAAACTAATAGGTGAAGTCCTTAGCGCTAAGGTTTTACGAAGCGGAGCACTTTTTGTTCATTGCAGAGACAGCATTCAACAAGGAAAGGCAATTAAGATTCACAAAATGGAAGGAAAGAAAGTTCAGAGCAGTCTGGTTGAAAACAAAAAAATGGGTAGAGGAGTCATTAGTGGAGTCCCTTTAAAAATCTCAAATGAAGAAATTCAAGCAAACATACGTGGAGCAAAAGTGAAAGAAATTAAACGTCTGCAAACAACAAGAAATGGAGAACGATGTAACAGCTTGTCAGTCTTGATTAAATTTGAAAGTGAATGTTTACCAAGTAAAGTCTACATAGGCTATATGAGCTATGATGTGAAACAATACATTCCTCCTCCGTTAAGGTGTTTTAAATGCCAGAAATTTGGACATGTAGCAGCAATCTGTAAAGGAAAACAACGATGTGGAAGATGTGCAGGTGAACATGAATATGGGAAATGTGAAAAAGAGGCAAAAATTAAATGTTGTAACTGTGGAGAAGAACACACTTCTGCTTACCGTGGATGTCAATACAGTAAAAGAGCAGAGGAAATCCAAAAAGTGAAACTCGCTCAAGGGATAACTTATGCTGAAGCTGTGAAAAGAATCCCAAATCAACCAGAGAAGCCAAAACCAACAGTGACACCAAATATAAAACCAAAAACTTGTGATGGATGCTCTAAAATACCTAATGATTCAATGATAGTGAACAAAAAGGATTTTGTGCTGTTTATGGTGGAAGTGATTAATTGTTCAGCTCAGACAGTAAAGAAAACTGAAAAGATTAAAATCATAGTGAGGGCTGCAGAAAAATATCTAGATGTTAAAGACCTTGGTTGGGAAGCTGTAGAAAATATGATAGGTAAAGGAGTAACACCAACTCAGTCAGAAGGTGCTACTTCCACATGGTCATAAACATATTTCAATGGAACGCTAGAAGTCTCATCTCAAATGGTCAAGATTTTAAACATTACATATCACAACTACAAGAAAAACCACATATCATCTGTATTCAGGAAACCTGGTTAAAACCAGAATTAGATTTTGTTTTACATGGGTACACTGCCATCAGAAGAGATAGAGGTAATGGAAGGGGTGGAGGAATAATGATCCTTGTACAAAATAATATAGGTTACAGTATAATCCATATAGGAAAAGAGCATGAATACATTACTATTAAAATATGGACAGGTAGGGATGAAATGATCATTATTAATTATTATAATCCATGTAAAGAATTAACTATTGAAACACTGAATATAGTTAGAGGACAGGAACAGGGGAAAATTGTTTGGTGTGGAGATTTTAATGCTCACAATAATCTTTGGGGAAGTGATCACACAGACATAAATGGCAGAAACGTAGAGGAATTCATTGATGATAACAGACTGGTGTGCATAAATAATGGAACAGGGACCAGATATAATATTACAAAGAACACAGAAACAGCAATAGATTTAACAGTCACCTCAAATAACATTGCAGGAATTACGCAGTGGGAAGTAATAAATAAAACATCACTTGGTAGTGATCATTATCCAATAACCATTAAAATAGGACTGGATGTTCTTAAAGGAAAAACATTTCGAGTACCTAGGTGGCAATTTAATAAAGCAAACTGGATCAAGTTTCAAAATCTGACTGAAATTAAATGTGGAGAAATTATTAGAGAAGATATTAAAGATATTGAAGAATTTAATGAAAAATTAACAACAATACTTATACAGAATGCAAATAAAGCAATACCTAAAAGTACAGGAAGTAGAATTAAAAAGAATGTTCCATGGTGGGATGAGGACTGTAAAAAAGCTATTAAAGAAAGGAATAAAGCATTTAAACAACTAAAAGTTCAGCATACAATTGAAAAGTTAATATTTTATAAAAGGAAACAAGCAATTGTTAGGAGAACAATAAGAAAAGCAAAAAGAGAATACTGGCAAAAATATTGCTCTACCATAGGGAGAGAAACTAAATTATCAGATGTGTGGGGGATGATAAAGAAGATGAATGGAATAACTAGGAAATATGAAATCCCAATAATTAAAAATGAAAACACTGTTGCAATAACTGATCTAGATAAAGCAGAATTATTAGTTAAAACACTGGTTAAAATACATAGTTCTGACAATATTTCAGCAAATGTTAGGGAGTTGAGGAGCAATATATTAAAAAACCATCCAAATATAGATAACAAAAAAACTGTCAATGGAGGGACGATGGATCTACCTATTACTTTATTTGAATTTAAAAGAGCGCTTAGTAATACTAATCAATCATCTCCTGGAAAAGACAATATTTGTTACGATATGTTAAAACATATGGGTGAAAATTCTATTAAAGCAATATTAATTTTGTTTAATTTAATTTGGGATAGTGGTAAAATACCAACTTCATGGAAAAATTCAATAATAATACCAATATTAAAACCAGGTAAAGATCCTTCAAATCCTTCCAACTATAGACCCATTGCTTTGAATTCACAATTGGGGAAAACAATGGAAAAAATAATAACTAAAAGGCTATATAGTTATTTAGAATTTAATAATCTGTTATCACCAAATCAAAGTGGATTCAGGAAAGGGAGAAACGCAATGGACTCTATTTTATGCCTCGAGTCAGAGATAAGGAAAGCACAAGCTAACAAAGAATCAGTTATTGCAGTCTTTTTCGATATAGAAAAAGCTTATGATACACTTTGGAAAGAAGGTTTATTAGTAAAACTGGAAAAACTTGGGGTAAAAGGAAAACTATTTAATTGGATAAGTAATTTTTTGTTTGAAAGAACAATAGAAGTGCGAGTGGGAAAGGAATTTTCAAGTAAATATATTGTGGAGAATGGTACTCCTCAAGGTAGTGTTTGTAGCCCAGTATTATTCTTGATAATGATCAATGACATATTTGATAAAATAGATCATGGAATCAGTAAATCTTTATATGCGGACGATGGAGCTTTATGGATTCGTGGTCGTAATGTAGAATATCTCAGAAATAAAATGCAAAAGGCAATCAATGAAGTTGAAATATGGTCCAATAACTGGGGTTTTAAACTTTCAACAACAAAATCTCAAGTTATCTGCTTCTCTAGAAAACATAAGTCTATCTCCTTAAAGTTATATGGTCAAAACCTTGAACAGGTTAAGGATATAAGATTTTTAGGCATGATTTTTGATGAAAAACTTACATGGAAGCAACATATAGAAAAAATAAAAATAAAATGTAAAAATGTTAATAATTTATTGCGTTGTTTAACAGGAAGGGAATGGGGAGCAAGTAGGGAAGCATTAGTAAATATATATCAATCACTTATGAGATCAACAATGGACTATGGCAGCATTAGCTATATGGCAGCAGCAGAAACTCATTTAAAACTTCTGGATATAGAACAATCAAAAGTACTCAGAATATGCAGTGGAGCATTTAGAACATCACCAGTTTCAGCTCTACAAGTTGAAATGGGGGAAATGCCTTTACGAATAAGAAGATTGAAACAAATGTTACTATACTGGATTAATATTAAAGGACATGACCAAACACACCCAGTTCATAATATATTACAGGAATGTTGGGAACATCAAAAAACAAATATTTATAGTTTTGGCTGGATAGGTAATATCAAAGCTCACTATGCAGGGTTGCATGAAATAGAATTAAGTCCAACAGTTAATCAATCGTGTATCCATCATTGGTTATATATTTATCCTTCTGTCGATTTATCATTACATAAATTAATCAAAAATAAAGGGAAAAATATTTCAGAAAACTTCTTAGTGCAACAATTCTTTCATAAACAACATATGGATAAAATTATAGTATTTACAGATGGATCAAAAGATCCAGAATCAGGACAAACAGGAGCAGCAGTGTACATCCCAAATCTAAATATAGAGATGAAGAAAAGAACAACAAACAACTTGACAGTATACACAGTAGAATTATTAGCTATAATCATGGGTTTAGAATGGATTGAAAAATATAATGGTCAAAAATATGTCATTGCATCGGATAATATGGCAGTCTTATTAAGCATCAAATCAAGTAAATCAGAAAGACAAGACCTAATTGACAGGGTTTACCACATTCTATATAAACTTCACTTGAGGGAAATATCTGTAGATTTTGTTTGGGTTCCAGCACATGTGGGAGTGGAAGGCAATGAAGGTGCAGACATTCTTGCTAAACAGGCAGTAAAATCTAAAAATGTAAACTATGAAATTCCATTAAGTAAATCTGAGTGTAAAATGATAATAAATAGATATGTTACGAATATATGGCAGGATAATTGGGACATAATTGATACAGGACGACATTTGTATAACATTCAGAAAAAGGTAGGAGGCACAAAGAAAACGGGAAGAAACAGAAAAGTAGAAACAATAATGACCCGAATCAGAATAGGACATACGGGTCTCAATAGCTCTCTTAAAGTAATAGGAAAACATGCCACGGGGTTATGTGATAACTGTAATCTCCCTGAAACAGTAAAACATGTTTTTATGGAATGTTGTGGATATGAATTAGAAAGAAGACATTTCCAAAAAGAAATAACTAAAATGAATATAAAATTTACAATTAATGATATCTTTAGTAGTGATGCTGGTAAAGTCAAAGATCAAATTATTATTTTCTTGAAAAAAACAAATTTAATGGAGAGAATTTAGATGAAATATAGATGTGAAGTTATTTCACAGAATTATTATTATTATTAATATTATTTATTTATATATTTTACATATTATTATTAATTTATTTTGTTTATTTATTTATCTATCTATTTTTATTTTATTTTATTTAATATTACTATTATTATTATTATTGTTTTTTTTTTTTTTTTTTTTTTTTTTTTTTTTTTTTTTTTTTTTTTT